ATGAATAAAAATTATTAATAATGCATGCTGCTATTAAATTTGCAGAATGGTGATGTTACTTAGTTCACTAGACCTGGAAAAGAATTGAAATTCATTGAAAGTTTAGTCTTCTTGTCACTGCAAATTGTAGAAAGGAGATGTTTTGTTATCATTCAGTTACTTTTAGGGATGAATTTAATGCAAAATAATAATGGCTATACCATTTGATAACCTTCTTAAAAACCTCAGCTCTGATAGCAGTATTAAATCTTAGCATCATATCATCTAATTTCATACCTACCTACTTGTATCAATTCAATGAAGTTAGGATGATACCGACACACAAAATTCTATGTGTATAGAGGGGGATTTCTTCATATACTTTCAGTATGCACGCAAAGCTAGAAAACAAATATTTCTGCTAATATAGATTCCTGTTTATTAATTTGGTATGTAGAAATGATTAGTATTTGATACAGTCAAATCTAGAAACAGGACAAGCAAAGCAACACTAAAAATACATTTGTTTTAGAAAATTTATTTTGTAAAGCTATCACAATATATAATTCCAGCAAGCATGCAGACTAGATTTTGGGGCACATATTGCATATTTCCATAGTCTTACTAAATGACTTTCAAATCTCTATTGCAATGAAAAATTGGTACCTATTTATATTTTTGAAACATTATTAAGTACAAAAGTTTGAAACATTATTAAGTACAACAATATGTTTCTTTTATATATATATATAATTTTGAGCATGGCATCTATCAATATGTGCTATGGAATGTGCACTTTTGAATAATTATAACTCAAGGCATACAATTAAGCACTCAAATTAAATTAAAATGACAGAACGTATATAAATCACATTTCTTAAACGTAAAAGTCGCAGATAAATGATTTTATAAAATAATTACAGTTGAAGTTCTGTTTCAGATAGTATTCTGAAGCAGTTAATTACACTTTATAGATGTTAACTTTTTTTTGTTAACTGACTCAAATACTGAAAAAGCTTCCATACCCTTTAGCAGAACTTTTCAAACATATGTTTCTAATAGCTGCTATATCTGATGAAAGCAAAAGGTTTTTAAACATTTGCTTTCTTAATATGTGTTACATTATATACTGATTTATATGTATTTTTTTATATTTAACTTTTTTGAATGAGGGAAATAACTTTAACCCTCCGAGCCTTACGAGTTTAGCCCTGAAATTTCAAAGTTCCTCAGAATGTCATGAATAAGTGGTATTTTCTTGATTTTAATTAAAATGAATTCTCATTTTGTACCTTGATTCCTTTTCTTCCAATAACCAAACTGAAATCAAATATATTAAAAGCTCAGTTTTCATTTCTAAAAAAAAAAAAAAAAAAAAAAAAAAAAAAAAAAAAAAAAAAAAAAAAAAAAAAAAAAAAAAAAAAAAACAAAAAAAAAAAAAAAAAAAAAAAAAAAAAAAAAAAAAAAGCTGAGAGGGTTAATAACACTAACAATAAAAATGAAGATGGCAACCAATGTACAGGATGATCTTTTTTACGGTGACAGTGTTTGGAGCGCCTTGTAGCGAGCGATCTAATAGCCGAAATGACACCAAACTTGGTATTTAGACTAATCAAGACATACAATCGTACAGTTAAATTATTAATATTTATTTACTACATTAACTTCCCCGGTGAGGAATTAGACCACATTCAATGTGAGCACCGTTCTCAGAAATAACAGTGTGCATTCTGTGCACAACGTTCTCTACAGCCATATGTAATATATCACGAGGAATATTCCACACTATCTTTGTTATGTTGTCCTTTAGAATAGACAAATTTAAAACTCCACCAACATAAACTTGAGATTTCAAATAACCCCAGAGCCAAAAATCGTATGGCGTGAGGTGAGGGGAACGAGGCGGCCATGCAACTAGAAAATTGCGACTTATGACTCTATCATCAGTGAAATTTTGTCTCAACAGCTGCTTTACCTTATTACTAATGTTTGGCAGAGTATCATCGTGTATAAAGATTGTCTGTTGGAGACGGTTTCTTTACTGAAGTTGTGGAATAACAAACATTTGCAGCATTTCATGGTACCTTTCTGCATTTTTGGTGCACGTTTGGGGTCCTGTTGGAGTGATGGTCTCAAAAAAGAATGGCCTAATTACAAATTCGGCTGTGAAACCACACCAAACAGTGACTTTTGGGGAATTTAATGGGATTTCGTGCACAGTGTGGGGCTGCTCAGAAGTCTAAATTCGGCTAATTTGTGTGTTTACGGACCCATTGAGATAAAAATGGCACTCATCTCTCCACAGAATGTGCCAGGGGAAAGCATCATCAATTTCTACCCTGGCAAAAAACGATAGAGCGAATGTCACTTGGTTTCAGTTCGTGCAAGCGACTGATATTGTAGGGGTAAAATCCAATAATGCGCCGCAAAACTCTCCATACCGTGGAATAATTCATGTCTCAATTGTCGAAGCTACACTCCCGGGCACTGCTAGTACCAGCAATGTTTCCCTGCGATCCTTCGACAATTGCAGTTGCCACACATCAGTTATTACATCCTTCTGATACTGGTTTATGTCCTCTCCCAGCATGAATGGGTCAGTGATCCCTGTCTTCCTCGAACTTCCTTAATCATTTTCTTTAAGACCATTCAGCGATAAAGGAACCCCTTTGGTAATTTTTTTCTTCTGGTTTGAAATTCCCGAAGAGCTGCGGATTGCGTTACAATTGATTCATCTAATACAGCATCACCAGTAACGCACGTTCCGGTAACGTGAGAGGCATGTCCACTGGATAATTTTATTTACTTCAGCTGAGATTATTTGTCGGAGCTGTCTACTACTTGCTTTTATAGCCCCTATTACTGGCGCTGTCATCACACAACATTTGCAGTTTTCTTTGATACCCGTGTTCTATGCTAATTCTTGTTATTTTAAGCTAAAACAGCACTACAAAATGCCTTAGCGGCGATTTTTGGAACTAAAATTTTTTTTCATGGAATCCTTTTTCCGATGTCTTGATTAGTCTAAATACCAAGTTTGGTGCCATTTTGGCTATACAGGCCGCTCCAAACACTGTCACTTTAAAAAAGATCGCCCTGTATATGCACTAAATTGCCCTATAAAGAATGAATTTTCATTTTAGGCCTCCGTACATTAAAAAGAATGCATTTCCCATTAGACAAGTTAATTAATTTGCACGAACATTAAGCAGAAATTACTGTGAAAATGTGTAGCATAAGTACAGGGTGTTTCTAAATGAATATCGGGGATTTAACACTTTGTAGTATTTATTATGCAAAACTTAAAATTATAATTAATATGTGAAATGAAAGAGTAACTGAAACAGATATACCTACAGTCTTACAAGTGTTCAATGTGAGCAAGCACCTTTCGTCATATGGCATACATCAAATCGAAAACCCTGGGTCATCCTGTACTCTTCGTTTTGCAAAGGCAGCCGATATTTTCAAACTGATGATACCATCTACGCATGTTATTATCTATCACTTGGGGGATCACATCTGAACTTAATCTGGAATGCACGTTCCACAGTAACTACAAATTCAGTCTTTGAAAATTGCAGAAGACAAAAAGCTTTCTGTTCAGTAGTCGCCATTTTTGCTACTAGCACTTTCTTGCTCATGCGCATACCAACAAACAGAACTGTTTGAATTCTCTTTCATTTCATGTATTAATTATAATTTTAAAGTTTTATGTGATAAATACTACAAAGCATTAAAACCCAATATTCATTTAGAAACATCCTGTATTAGTGCAACTAACTTAGAAGTCACCAAATTTTCAGAATACTTCAAGCTCTGGTAACCATGTCCATAACAGTTTTTAGTTTTAATAAGCAACATCCCCATTTCCATATGCATTCTTTTTCCTTATTTCTAAATTTCACTTTTATATTTTTTGTTGTACTCTGAAAGTACCCCTTTTTTTTTTTTTTTTAATTTTAAATTATGGTCTTGTGGGATTCATATGCAGTGGAAGTAATTGCAGTAAAATTTCTCTATGAATACTTTATTTTGCTGCAAAATCAGCTAAGAAAAAATAATTGTTTTGCTTTTATTCTTAAAGTGATCATCAGAGCAAAAGAAATGAAAACAACTTTGTAAATAGTTTTATTGATTTAATTTCAAATAAATTCCTAATTAAAATGTAAAATATTTATCTAAATAATAACTTTTTGGAATTAAAAAGAATAATTTTTTTTCCGTAAAAAAAAATCACCAAACTGCACAAAGATGATTTCATTACTACACAAGTACTAAAAATCCCAGTTAACCCTTGTGGCTCAGTGTTCCACTACATGGAACAACAAAATTGAATCGCTTCTGAAACCTTTAAATTCAACCGTAAATAGATAAAAATGCCTTTAAAATATGCTTTGAACTTTTCTTTTTAAACAGTAGATAGCAGTATATTACAAGGAGACACAGAATTTTCATTTATTATGTGTTAAATAAAAATCCACTTTTTTTTTTCAAGTAATTTTCTCTATTTCTGTAATGATATAAAAAATTTTATTTGGAAAAAAAATTAGGCATAATTTTGCTGGCTGTACTCCAAATTATTTGTTCTATATTTTTTTTAATCTTTCATACAAAACCATACGCAGAATCATTGAATAAAACCGGGTGTTCCATTAGCGGGAACACTGCGCCTTTAGCAATCTCATGCTGTTACGAATCAGAACATCTGTGCTTAGGAGAGAACATCCGTTGTTTACGTTTTCTGTTTACGTTGTTTGGGGGGGGGAATAAATTCAAACAAAGCAGTATTGAGGTGTGTTTTGTGTTATGAAAGCCCTAATATTTGCATCTCGAATTTTTTGGGAGTAGTTTTTAGGTGGGAATTTTATTAGTAGCTTGACTCATCTTTGCTTAGACCTGCACAAATTTTTTGCTGTCGCTTTTTAGTCTCATTCCCATTTATTTTCAATAATTGCATAGATATTTTTCGTGTACCATGTATACAGTTATAATACAGATTTTTTCCATTCTTATACAAGCACTTCTACTCATTTTCATGCTTCACTGCAATGCTCGCTTAGTCGCACTTTTAAAAGCTCTTACGGACCAATGTTTCACCTCATGGAACACCCACAGAATTAAAACGGTAAGTGCAATTTTTACAAAATTTTACCTGTATACTCCTTTATGACTAAATAGACTGCATACAACTTTTTTTGTTGAAATTCCGACGTTAACGTGTAGTGCACCGCAAAGGGTTAATGGATAATTAAGTGTTTGTAATTCCCCCATTCCATTACAATTTAAAAGCTTGCTCTCAAAATTCCTAGTTGTATTTCATCCATAATATATGCTGCTCAGTCAGCAATAAATTGTGTTTCTCTAAAAATTTGAAACTTTGTGATGAACTCGAGTGCCCACATCCATCTTTGAGCTGCTGTTTTATCTATCAATAACACTTCAACTAGTATGTGGATGGCTGGTTCAGAATTGCATCAGAAAATACTGATGGACATTCAAAATGGGATTGATCAGTATGCCATCTATCTCCATACCAGAATTTTTAAATGCAATGTGGTATAGTTAACTGCATCTTCATACTCTTAACAAGTACTATGTAAGCTGTGATTGCAGTATTACCTAATCAGGCTCATATGAAAAATATATTTTACTCTTTTAAATCAGTACATGTTCTGTTACCCCACATTTTGTTGTTAAGATTCCAGTCATCCACTCGCAATTTGTATCTACAAAATGGGTAGAACTTTTCCTCATATCTAATAATTGCTATGTAAAAGGTATTGATATGCAAATTCAGGGTTATTTTGTGATTCGAGTTTGCTAACGTTAGATAAGTGCATGGCTGGTATCCATTTTATCCACCCATAAACCCAGTCAAATCTGTTGCCCCTCTTTTCCTTTTACAAGTGTTAAAAGGCAAAAATAGTAAAAAGTCACAAATAGGCACAAATTTAAACAAATTTATGCTTTTTAATAGGTTAAGACTGGTTCCATTTTGATGAGAAGCAAAAATAATGTTTCTATCATTGTTCTAAATTATTTTTATTTGTTTTATTTCATACACATTATTTAAGTAGGGAAACTGATAATCTTCATAAGTAAATTTTAATGTTTCTCTCTGTAACCAGTGAAGATGCTTACAAATTATTATTTTTTTTTAATATGATAATTTATCACATCATTAAAGTTCAGTTTGAGTGTTAAATCCTTTTCATTGGCTAAAAGAGCAAAATATACTACATGCTTTTTTGTGATAGTTTCCCTTAAATCATTTCACACTTGACAAGACAGGAAAGTGCTCTGCTGAGAAATTTGTAATAGGTGTATTCAAATAAATTTTCAATGCAACTTCATTTTAGGGTATAAATCTTGTAGATTTTTTGGGGGCACTAAAATTTTAGTGCCTCCACATAGTGAACACAGTGATTAGCATCGCACTAAATATTGTCTATCCTACCTCCTATGTTTTCAAATGAATGTGATCAACCAGAAATAAATGCATTTTAGTGTCACTGAAATAAACATTTTGCATTCATGTTGATAATATGGGATTCTCTATTAGTAAGGTTTCATAAAAGTAAGGGTCTGTTGAAAATTCAATAAAAGCCATAGTCCGATAGAGTCTTTGCTTTCTCTTTTCTTGCTGGCAATTGTAAATTCATTTTACAACTTTGCGGTAAGCATGGAACCTTTCCCCAACCTACTGAATGACTACTTGGAGGACAATGTTTAACATGTTCACTACCAAAGCTGATTGTGTCCGTTCACATGTGCCAAGATCCTGTCTGCACTTTCATGCATTTGAATTATTTTCTGCTACTTTATTTTATTAAATATTCATGTAACAGATTACTTTTAGTATAGTTAGCCCGTCTCAAATACAACCTCGGCTGGCATTCTGCCAAAAACGCATAGACTCATCCAAAAGGGACGTTATTACCTGCTGCAGCGTGGAACATCACATGCAAATCTTCTCTTCTTCAGAAAAAGAGAATTTATATGCTCGAAGCAAAGAATGTCCCCATCCTTTCACATTGTTTTGAGAATAATTTGATCCAAGTGGCACATGTGTGTTGTGCTCATGGTTGCGGATGAGGTGGTCAAACTATTCACTTAAGTATACTCATGGTTGGTGTATGAAATAATATCTTTATTTCCTGTGGCAACTATGAGGTAACTCAGAACTAGAAAAACGATACTCACCTTTCTGCCGTTCACACAAAACTCATGACGTATGATGCATTATTTTACATTAGTCTGGTACGAGTCACTGAACAAGAATTTTAGCAGTCTGCTTATAACATTTTTCAAGTTAATAAATAAAAAGAAATAGTTTTCTAAGCATGTAGTTACAGTGTTGAGAAATAAATAATCTCATAACTGTGTTTTAAGAAATAAAGTATCCAATAATTATGTTTTCAGATATAAATGGTACATTTCGGTATGCCAAGTACATTATTTAGTCCCTCCCTGTATGCCAACACCTGAATATTGTATGTATGGCAGTATTTGGTCATTTAGGTATGGTGGTCAATAATGAGTTATCTTGTGCCTGGCAAGTAAACCCAGTTTCCCAATTACGAGTATTCTTGTAGATGGCAGCAAATGTGTTAACTTCCATCTTTTTTGTAAAAGTTAAATATATATTCATTTCATCTTCAAATCATACGAGCGAGTTGTAAAGCTTAACAACAATCTTAACCTTCTTTTTTTGTAATTGTATTTACTGCATTACATTGTTAAATCTTAAGAACATCACCTCATACTGCTGGCTTGATTGTTATTTACAGGTAAATAAGTTCTTTTAAAATTCTCTTTGCTTGGTTTTTGGTAATTTTGTTTTCCTACTCATCTTCTTTGATTTACTGAAAAACTTTGTCGGTGGTTTCAAAAATCTTTATTCAGACATTTATGATCCTCATGTCTAACTGATTACCTTGGGCAGAAAATATTCTGAAAGAGGAATGCTTCAAAACTGAAAAGTTATCTTTAAGTGTTTCCATTAGTGAATCGAGGAAGGGAAAAAAATTGTAAAAGAGATTATAAAGGGTTAAAGAAGGATCTAGAATGATTGCAGCATTCTGCACTGCTGAATCCCACAGAGGTCTTATTAAATTCTGTTCTTCCTGAACATGGGAAATAAAATATTAACATCAGCTTTCTTTAATTTGCAGCCAGAATGAATACCAGTTGTATAAGTAGCATTGTCATATTGAAAGACTGAGGTACTTCTGAGTGTTTAATGCATGCAGATAAATGAATTTCAAACAGAATTGGGCCCTCTAATGGCCAAGTAAAAGTAGATAAAATTGCTGAATAGTAGGAGCTCGAGTTGAATCCTGGCAAGCAGGCTAGCTGCATTGGACATTTTAATGGTTTCTTCAAGTGTGTGAGCCAGTTTTCCTTAAGAGAAATTGCACAAGGGCATCTGTCCTGTTAGACAGATAGCCTGGATATGGTTTGTCTTAATAAATGAACCTTACCTAGTAAGCAGAATCAGCTAGTTGTTAGCAAATGTGACCATGTATTTTAGAAGCTAAAAAAATCTGTTCTTCATGATTGTCCCAAAAATATATATTTACTTGAGATAAAACTCAGTTGATTGTTATGTTTGATATCAAGGATATAATTAACAATGACAGAAAAGCACTTTGGATATTTCTCTTCCAAGAAAAACAGTATTAATAATAGATTTCCTCATTAATTCACTGAGCTCCTCACAAATAGTAAAAGATAAGTAAGGTGTTTTATCTTTGCCGCTGGTCTAAGTAGTTTTTTAGAAAGGGGCTAAATTCTGCTTTAAGTTCTGAGCACATCATCAGATTTCCATTATTTGACTAGCCAAGCACTCTGTTTTTGCTTCTAAAAGTAGAATTGTGCATTGATGATTGTTTAATGGCAATTGCTCTTCCTTGGAGAACATTCTTGTCATTATTTAACTGCTTCTGTTGATGATTGTAGATGTTGTCGATTCTGCGTGGCTCAAGTCTTTGCTTTTTAAAAGCCAAAACACAATCAAGATTAGATTTAGAACACTTGTTTTGCTCTCAGCTGATTAACATATCCCAAGTCACTAAATCCATTTTGAGAGATGATACATTTCTTGATACTATTCCAGAAAGTGTACTAAACACAAAGCATATGTCCTTGTCTGTAAGTGTAAACAAGAAAGAATTTTAATACATCACGATTAGGAAAGTTTCATTCAGACAAAACACTACTAAAAAATATGTAGTTACAGATACAACTTTTTTCAAATTTTATAAAATGGTCATCTTTATTTTGATTGAAACCAATTTTTACAAAAAAAAAATTCAGTTTATGGATGCAACACTCAATGTTCATAGTAGTATCTTCTACAAAACATCTAAATTACTGAGTTGTTCAGAAGCATGATACGTGAATTTGGTTAAATTTGCTGTTGTCATTCTTGCTACCTTTGCCTGGATCATTTACAGCTGTTATATTTCCTCCCACTGCATAGTTAGGGATTTCTGCAATACATGTCTCATTTATCACCACTGATATACTGCAGGTTTCTCAAATGGAGTCTTTTGGAGAAGGAAAAACTATGTTTTGGAGTTGGAAGTACATACTTACTTTCTTTCATTTGCATTTCTTCTACTGGTTTACTATACGTGGTTCCACTTAATCATTTAAGTCCTAATTAATTTCAGAAAGTAGAAAATATTAAATGCTTAATTCATAAAACAAAATGTAACAAACATTATACATGCTAATACACTTCTCAGTGTAAAGTTTTAAATTGAATTCAATTCCTCAATGCTGCATAAACATAATGCTGTAATGTTGATAGGGAAATCTAGAAATGGTCCATTTTCCCTTAGGGAAAGGAAAAGGAAACAGGTTTGTAATTTGGTTTTCAGGAAAAGAAACAGGTATTTGTGCTTACCTTTCCTATGTTGACATGTTTGAAGCAGTTAAAACCGTTGGCTAGATGGCAATTATGGGAACCTAAATGGCATAAGTCCTTTGTGAGTCATCTTATAAAGGATCATTTCAGTTTATTTCTAAACTTTCATTTTAGGAGTACTTAACATCAGTTCTTTGTTATGCTGTTGTACTCCTGTTTACTTTGTATATTCTGCCATTTAATCTTATGTT